CCCCCCCCCCCCCCCCCCCCCCCGCCTTGTTTGTTTGGTGTTAAATCAGCTGTGTACATTTAACAGGGACCAAGGTAAGGTATATTTTCACTATATATTTTAAGAAATGTAGATTATATTTTATTAACTTATTCATGCCCTCGGTTTTGTGTACTTAAAAAAAGAAATTGTCAAACAAAAAAAAAAATCTTGGGATTTTCTGGTTTTGATAACTTTTCACTCTAAATTATGTTAAATGGAGGTGTGTGTGTGTGTGTGTGTGTGTGTTGTGCAAAAGTTTGGGGGGTTTGAAGACGGGGTCACACCCTGATCCACCAGCCTCTGGACCTACCAAAAGTAATGCTACTTTTACAGACTCTAGTAATTAAGCTCACTTTATTTCTCTGTTCTTTCTTCTTTATCACCTGCACTTCTTGTATTGCTCACCAACCTGCTGTCAGATTTGCTTGTGCTGACAGCAGACGACTCGTCTTGTGTTTGCACTAATGGTCGCGAGGTTAAGGCGTAAGCTATCCATCCGAGTGTCTTGCCGTGAAAATGTGTTTATCCAAAATGTTGAACCGAGACATTGCTGTGATGACGACAGACTAAATTGAACGGTTCCTCAAATCAATACACAATGGGAGCCTCTCACACACTTTTCTGCATTGCTTTGCTTCTTTTGAAACCTCGCTCCACTTTCACACCGTTACGAACATTTCTACGCTGCTGAATTAGTTTTTTGCATCTTGAATAAGTAGACAGTATGTTACTGATTAGGAAAAAAAGTGTGAAGATCAATTCCCTGCAAGTTAAATTCATTTGGTTTTGGTTAAAACAATTAAAAATTAAAACACAGACCCTTTTCACAATCATGACGTACTTCCCCGTAGTCTTGTAAATACCGAAACTTGGCTATACTATAGAAAATTGGCTTGTCAGAAGACAAACTAAAATAATTCAAAATTAAAATCATCTTGTATCTTATTGACCTCTCACATCAGTTGATTAACATCTTTTTCATAGGTTGGTGTTTTTTTCTTCTTTTTCTTGTGTTGTAAAACCTGTATCATGATGCAAATCAAACCGTGTGTGTGTGTGTGTGTGAGAGAGAGAGTTGTGATTGTCTGTAAAAAGTTGTTTGTGTTTCCTGCTTTCTGTTTAATTATTTGTGTGTAATTTAGGCTGTTAAATTCAGTACATTCCTATATTATTTATGCTTACGTTGTGATTGTAACAAGTGTATATACACCATTCATATACACATTCTATAAATATATATATATATATATATATATATATAAATATATATGAACCAACCAATATGATCAGTGTTTGTCAAGGGTGGTCCTGTACATATACAGATTGTTTTTCTTGTCCATCATGTGGAGGGATGTTAAGTTATGGCCATTTGATTGAAGGTGTAAACTGGATGTTCTGGCCTGCGAGCTGAGCTGGGGGCTGAATGTCGATCACTGGTTGGTGGCAGTAATAGTTTCACTGTCGCTCTGCTCTGGCAGTGCTCACACTGCCAGCTGCAAAACTCACGTCTTGACCAAGTTTTTTTTTCCTCCTTTTTTGATCCACTCTGCACTAGTATTTACTCCTTAAAAGTGATAAGGGTTGCTTTTGTTATTGTTTATTTTGAAAACAGGTGGAAGATGCTGTGAGGAAATAATGTTCCTTTGTTTGTGTTCTTCACCGGGATGTATGATTTTGTTTCACTCGTGTTGGTACTCGAGTGTAAAAGGTGTTTTCGTTGAGTATTTAGGCCTAAATGTGTTTGCTTTCTGCTTTTGGTCCGTTGCAAAGTGCCTTCCAAATACTGATTGTGCACAGCAGTGGATTAAAAAAGGTCCTCTTTTCTAAAGGTTAAGAATTGTACAGAGTGACTTGCATTGACACTTTTGTATAAAAACACACACAGAAAATGTACAATATGTTAACTTGGTATTTTATCATCGTACTCAACAAGATTGCTCTTCAGAAACATGAGCTACATGTTTTGTTATAACGTCTTTGGACATATTTCAATATAAGCATACTTTTCTATAGATATTTGTTTTTGTACTCTGTCATTGAGTCTCACCATTCTTGTTGGTACAGAGATGAGAATCAAATAAATTGCAATTGAAAAAGTTCCCAACCTTTCTCTTGAAGTTATTACTTGTGGATGATGAAAGGATGAATCCATCCAGGCCCAGTCTGGATATCGGGAGCTATTTTACAGCTACTCCGCAGCAACATAGACAAACACTGACCGCAAGCCTGTCCGCTACTATTCCAGTAGGTACAGGTAATATGATTCATTAATTCACAGTTAACTAATGTTGTATTCATGTATATATAGTAAGTGCCTGTAGAGGTAGCTAATGTGATTCACATGATCACAGCGTTCAGATGCAGAAAGAACGTGATAAATAAACTATAAAAAACATGTTAAAATTGAGTTGCAAGATCGACATCAGTCCTTTCAATGTCAGCGCCCCTGTTCTTGAAATTCAGTTTGTTGAAGTCCTCCGTGATCTCTATCATCGTCTTTCCTTTGGTCTCGGGGACAAAATATATCAGAAATGCTGCACTCAAGATGGTGTAAGCCACGAAAATCAGGAAGCAGAACTGCCCGAGTCCATTCTGCAAAGATACACATAACAACAGAGATTTAGATAAAATAGAGGTATAATATACTGTATATGGAATATTTGAAATAAGATTCGATACAAAGCAGCTTTCTCACCACAATATAGCTGAACAACATCCCCACGAGGAACATGCAAAGCCAGTTGACAGACCCACTGACCACATAAGCAGAAGGACGCCAGGCTTGTAGGAACAGGTCCGCAGGAAGAGCCATAGACACTCCAGCTTTAACAAGAAAAAAGAAAAATAATAATATATATTCATATATATATATGAAGTTATTCACTTTTGGGGAACAAGCAACAGAAAACTCACAAGGTCCAAGTCCATAAATGCAGATAACGCAAAAGATCAGAGCGATGTTAACATACGGGATCCATGAATTCAGATCCTGTAATAAAAGAGAAACATTTATCATTATATATTTATAATATATTATCTGATAGGGTGCAACTGATTGAGTATATTTACCTTGATGGATAGCATGACAGTAAGTGCACACATGGTGATACCCATCAGTAAATAGCCATAGCCCATCAGCTTCTTTCTGCCGGCACGATCTATCAAGAAGGACTGAAACACAACAGAGATGTCGAATAAAATATATATTTTTCTTTATCACACAGGACTACCCCTTCTTCAGTACAAGTAACTAATCATTAATCAATTACTGTTTTTACCCATTTGTTTTTTGTTTGATTATATTGATTGAATTTTTCAAGCTATGTACCAAAGAAGTATGCCAGCGTACTGGTACCGCAAATATAAAGAAGAGAATATCTCCCCTCCAACAGGCTACAACAAAACATTACAGTGTAAAATCATACACCACTAGAATCCTAATATAAAGAGAAATTACTCTACCCAGTGACCATGGAAAAAACAACACATAAAAGATGTATGTAGCACTCAGTATCCTCACCAGGATGGTAGTACTGAACTATCTTTCCATCATCACCTGGTCAGGTTGTGTACAGTACAGGAAAGGTTCATAAACTGTGATATCATTTAATGTGCATCCAAACTCAAAACCCAGATTTTAGAATCCTTCATGACCAAGCACCAGTCTCACTAGCTCTAAGTTGTTTTGTGCTGCATTGTTATCTTCTTTCAGGTGTTTCATGATGCAGTTTCATGCTACTTTGAAGAGATACTTACACACAGTGTTACGGTGACGAGCTCTGTTGCTCCAAGACCGATGGACAAGTAATGCATCTGGTCCTCTGGCACTCCAGACTCGCGGAAGATGTCAAAGGCGTAAAAATACAGCTGGATGAGAGAATGAAATATAAGCCATTAAACTGTATGAAGCCGAACATTAAACATGTGCTAAACAAAACTCAGTTGCTAATATTTATTTATATGATAAACATACAGCGTTGATGCCGCAGAGCTGAACTCCAGCACAGGGGATGATCAGAGTCAGTAGCTGCCATCTCACACAGCGAGAGCTGAGTACATCCTTCACAGTCTTCGCCTTCTCTCCCTGTGTGCTCTCTCTCTCTTTCTGCATGTC